CCTGCTTCCAAGGTTGATGAGTCCCTGTGGTTTGATCTGCCATCTCCACACACGTAGATTCATTTTGTTACATGGCTAAGGTGTTGCTGTAGCCCGTACCGACCACAGCTGTTTTATGGCTGTACTCAGCCTCCCAGAGATGGAGAGGTGGAGCTGTTTACAAAGCAGAGATATCCTCTCTGGAAAGCTGTACCTCAGTCATCTACAGGCTACGGCTTCACCTCCATCCTTATCTGCTTTTAACCTCACCTCAACACTGGCTCTAGACAGGGACTTTTTTTTTACCGTTTTCGGAGTAGTATCGTACTCCCGGCTTGTTTGCAGAATTGAAAGTTGGACATTGCGAAATTTTCTATATCAAATACCTGGGATAGTTAAAATTGGCATATGCTGTTATAAAGACATTAATTCCCAATTCAACTTAAATTGTTATTTGTATAACGCGCCAATTCATAACAGAAGTTATCCTGCAGGAAGACAGCTTTTCAAATAGACCAGGTCTAGAGCCCGAAGCTCCTTTTAACATTTACAGGGACCCAACAAGTACCAACCATGAGCAAGCACTTTGCGACGGGGGGCAAGAAAACCTTCCTTTTAACAGGCAGAAACCTAGGACAGACCTTCGGCTCTAGGTGGGGTGGTCCCATCTGCCTTGACCAGTTGGGGGGGGGAGAGAGAGAGAGAGGAGAGAGGAGAGAGACAGATGTACAGCAACAACAGTAAGGCAACCAACTACATTAATAGGTAATGATGCGATGACGACAAAAAGACGATGACCCGATGGCAGCAGCACGATGGGGGGAGCCAAGCGAGCAGCGATAACAGTAACTGGTAGCAATAATAATACTTAATAATAACTAAATAATAAGTAACATAATATCAGTGATTTAGGCAAATGGTAGTCAAGGCAGGACCATGAGGCCAGGATGTGCCATTGATCTTTCGAGCACGCTCGTCCTTTGGGCGTACAGCAGTAGTTTGCGCGGGATTTAAAGTGTCACGGGAGCATGGTCTCATTGTATGTCTCTCAACCGTCCCATGTAATCCATAAAACAATTCTCAGTCCGTGCCCTCAAAGCCACCCAATAGAGCTGTTTTGCATGGGCAGCAGAGCCATGCCCACCGTCTGCTGCCAAGGCCTTAATTGTTTGTTTTCCTATGCTTATTTAGCCCTGTCCATCGTGCATGTTTGTTCATGTCCAACTTGCCAGCTTTTCCCGACCCTCCCCTGACCCTCCTGTGAGAAGAGAAAAATGCAGAACCATTAGGCGAATCTGGTATCCTTGTTAGTGAATATTATTAGACCTGGGAAGGCCCGCTCATGGAACATGCACACGCCTGCCTCGCTTCAAGTTGCATGTGTGTTCACTCCCCCACTGGTATTTAGAGCCCCAGTATGACTTATAATGTTTTCCCCATTTTTATCCTGGGGAAAACTTAAACCCCCCCATTCCAACAAAGCTCCATGCTTTGTTGGCCTCTACATCTGTGAAATTGGATATCGAAACCAGAGCCCTTGTGAATTCGCTAAAAATAACTTTAACTGTTTCCTGGCCTGCTGTACAAGCCATGTTTTTCGTAATGAGTAAATCATTAGTAAGTTGTGTGTAGATAAGGGGAAATAATAAGGTAGCATAGAGTACTGACATTGACCATTCTGGTGACATTGGGTGCAGACCAGTGAAGGAACAACAGAGATCCAGCCGTTCAAGTAGTTAAACACAGGCAATATACATGCTGAGCAATTGTGCAGCAGTGGTGGTTTAAAGACTTACTTTTGTGTGCTCAGGGGTTATATAAAAGTTAAAGACCCAACTGGACTCCAGGAGGGGCCACACTTCCCCTAAAAGGTTTAGCGATTACCATCTCAGGTGGGCCTTTGCTCCCTGTATCTGCCTTTGTGGTTTTGAGTCCAACACTACAGGTATCTAAATGTAATGTTGTAAGGCAACACCAGTTTAATGTCCCAACACAAATGTCCAAATTGCAGCAGGATAGCATTGGCTGGCACACCTCTAAATACATCATACTACTAATACTAAAACTGCTTACTACTGCTACCTAAACTGATACTATTAGTACTAAATACAATCCCTACCTGAACTGAAGTTCAAGATTCAATTCCCCAATTGAAAATTATTTGTATAGCGCCCAAAATTCCATAACAGAAGTCTATCCCTCCCCAGGAACACTTTATCAAATAGAGCAGGTTCCTAGACCCGAACCCTCTTTTAACAATTATTTACAAAGACTCAACAGTAAAAACCCACCCATGAGCAAGCACCTTGGCGACAGGGGAAGGAAAAAAACTTGCCTTTTAAGAGGCAGAAAACTAGGACAGACCCTGTCGGCTTCTAGGTGGGTTTGGTCCATCCTTGCCTCGACCCAGTTTGGGGTGAGAAGGAGAGAGAGAGAAGAGAGAGAGAGAAGAGAGAGGACAGATGGACAGACAGAGGTGGCACAGCCAACCAACAGTAGAGGTCCAGGACAGATGAATGATGACTCTATATACCTGTGCAAACGGAAACATCCTCTTAGCTTAACGAGAAGCAACCAGTCATTAGA